ATTAAATTAAGGGATTTGAGAGTATGTGGAGGAGAGGTTGGGAGTAACTCACCTGAGGGTCAGAATCTTTAATCAGGGCAGTAAATATGGCTTCCTTTAAAAAGAAGAAAGAGAAAAAGGTAAGATTTGAGCTGTAAAATACAGTCACTGACTCCCCACAAACGATTAATTTGAGCTTTATTACTCAAACCAACACCTCCCTGCCCCTCTGCTCCTCTCACACCAGACCAGCATCCCAAGGACATTTAACAGGATCAGTTTGCAGAGGCACAACCCCCTTGTTTTAAACACCAGACAGTGTTTAAAATCCATCTTCAACAAAAGCATCCTGCTCTGAAGGGAAGTGCCCCCAGCTGAGCAGGAGCTTCCCTGGATCCCCTCACTCACTTCATCCCTGACAGTCTGGTACTGAGGCACCATGCTGATGGAGAGCTGCTTTCCATCCAGGGACATGGGGAAGCAGGTGTAGAATTTCACCATGGAATCTGCAGCTTTCCTGTTGATTTCCAGATATGCCTGAGAGAAAAACAAACATTTAAAGGAAAACTGGAATTTATCAAAGGCGTCTCCCACGGATGCTTCCTGCACCTCATCTGCACTCCTTACAGACTCCACTGTTGCTCCTCCAGGCAGAAACACCACCAAATCCCATGGAAATACCTTTTTGTGAGAGGACAGAATCAGCATATCCTTCAGGCCTCCAAAGGGCTTTGCCAGGTTGGAAACTTCCTCCACGGAATATCCCTTGTCGGGCAGGTTGGAAACCAGGACCACACACAGGTCCTCGGGGTCCTGCAAGACACAGAGGCACTTTATATGGCACTGCCACTCCTGCCACCCTAAATCCCAGCTGGCTGCCCACAGCTGGGGCTGCCCCAGCCCTGGGGGTGTCCAAGGCCAGGCTGGATGGGACTTGGAGCAACCTGGGCTGGTGGGAGGTGTCCCTGGAGGGGGGTGGGATTAGATGGGATTTAGGGTCCCTCCGCACCCAAACCAGTCTGGGAGTGTGTTCTCACCAGAAACAAACAGGAAGGGGGTTAAATTGGACATTTTCAGACACTACAGCAACACCTGGACATGGCTCCAGGCGTGTTCCTACAATTCCCACCCTCACACTGACCTTCCTGGCTGGATCTGTGGATTCCTCGCCCGGTGTGCCCGTTCCTGGAGGCTCTGGAAAACAGGGAGGGAGCAGTTCAGTGGTTCAGGTTTCTTTAAACACCTCAGAGCTTTAAGAACTTCCTGCATTGCATTTTACCCCTTGTGGAAAATCAATATTAAATATTCATTTAACAGTGACAAACAGGTGAGACACAGACAGTGCTATGGAAATGCTCCCAGAAAGAACAGGCCCAAGGTGGGAAAGTCCAGCCTGGAGAAGAGAAGGCTCCAGGGACACCTTAGACCCCCTTCCAGTGCCTAAAGGGGCTCCAAGAGAGCTGGAGAGGGACTGGGGACAAGGGATGGAGGGACAGGACAAGGGGGAATGACTTCAAATTGGGAAAATGGAGATTTGGGTGGGATATTGGGAAGGAGTTCTTCCCTGTGAGCATGGCAAGGGACTGGAATGGATTTCCCAGAGAAGCTGTGGCTGCCCCTGGATCCCTGGAAGTGTCCAAGGTCAGGTTGGATGGGGCTTGGATCAACCTGGGATAGTGGGAAGTGTCCCTGCCCATGGTGGGGGTGGAACTGGGTGGGATTTAAGGTCTCTCCCAGCCCAAACCATTCCAGGATTCCAGGATTCTGTGACCTTTCCTTATCAGTACTATCTGAGGCACAGTAACTGAGAATTAGTTCACACTTGAGCAGGGTTTAACACCCAGTCTGCTCTGGATGAGTGACAGAACACGTGGAGAACAGGAACGACTGATCCAACGGGATTAAATCAGAGGTGGAGCTGCAAACAGAGCACAGGGAGTGCCTGGATCCACGGGGTCAGTGCAAGTGTCCAGTCACACTGACAGCTCCTGCCAGGACTGTCCTGGCTGCTGAAACACAGAAATCTCAGGGGGCTGCAGCCACTCTGGGGGTTTTCAGCCCCTTCACCACCCCAATGAACTCCCGGGCTCTGGTCCAGCCCCTGCACCTGCTCTCACAGGTTTTATTTCCTGGAATCCCGTGTCCTTTCCATTGCCTGGCTGGAAAGCAGCTCCTGGAGCCCCCAAGAGCAGAGAGGTTTAAGACAACCTTGCAGTTTACCTGGTTTAATTAAAGCTTTATCAACCCCAGGCACATCCAGCGCCGGTGCCTGAGGGGGCTGGGACGGGCTCCCTGACAAACAAATCCATAGAACACCTCCCTGTCCCACTGCACATCCCCCATGGAACAGGGCAGGACAGCCCCAGGGTACCTGGCACAGGTGAGGGGTGGGGCTGGCTCTCCATGGGCACTGCAGGCTCTGGGGCTCCATCCTCCTCCGGGACACTCTTTGGATCTGACGGCTCCGCTCCCTCAGCTCCCACCCCGGGCTCTGCCGAGGGCTCGGCATCTCCATCCTCGGCTGGTTCTGGCAGGGACCAGCAGCAAAAGGCAGTTTTTGTTTCTACAGGTCAATGAATCCACCTGCAGCAGCAGAACGAGCTGCACTGTGCATCTTCTGTCCCATCTCAGAGGCCTCCCAGTAATAAATCCCTGCTCCTCCTTCCACACGGACAGAAAATGGACACCCAGGGAAAGCTCTGTCCCCAGCTCACCCACTGCCCTGGTTTTTTGGCTGTTCCCCATCTACAAACAGCCCTGACAATCCCTGCAGGGAGGGTGTTTGCCTGTGGAATGATCCACCAGTGGGCCAGGCCAGGAGAGGTGAGGGAACCTGGATTCCCAGCCTGGAATGGCTGTGCTGGGAAGGGAAAAGCACCTCCTGCTTCCCAGGGAAGAGGGACAGTCCTCCCTCCTCTCACCTGCAGCACCTGGAGGTTTCTTCACCTTTCGTTCTCCTGGCACTGCTGATTTCTTGAGCTTTTCCTTTTTACCTACAAAAACACCCCAAAACCAGGTGTCAGCAGAAATGCTGATTATATGTAACTTAAAACCAATATCAAGTATTATACATACATTACATATATATATATTATATATATTATACACATACTACAGTAAAATAGCACAGCAATATGACACATGCATGCTAATAATAAATTAATTGCTGAGACAAATATTGCTTATCAATATTATAGTAATATTGATATTATATTACTGTGAAGAAAAAGACATTATACATGCAATAATATAATAATACCATAAAAGATGGAAAGTGATTATAATAATAAAGTATAATAGAAATAAAATATAACAGTAAAATAGAATATTACACATACAATAATATACACACATATGTACAATGTACACACAAAAATCAGCTTAATCTGCAGCAATTCAACTGATGGGACCAAAAAACCCACCCAACACCTAACCCAGCAGTTCAGCCCCACAGAGATGCTGAGGAATGAATCAATAAATCTGTAAAAACCACGATTTCCCACAGAAATCATGGCTGCTCCCTAAGTGAGACTTGCTCAGGAAAGGCAATAAAATAAATCAATCAAGCCAATAAATCAATTAATAAAGAGAACAGACAACCTCCCCCCAGTCTCACCTGTGGGGGGTTTGGGGGTCTTGGTGCTGGTGGTTGGAACTTTTCTATTAGGAGAATAAAAAATAATCAGTTTTAAAGACAATTAGCAAATATTAAAACAGCTTTTAAAAGCTCAAACCCAGTAAAAAGCCCCACAAACAGATATGAGCCCATTTGGTTCCCAGCCATTATCATTAATTTATGCAAAGGCAACACTCACTTGGTACTTGCTGAAGTTTTTTTAACAGTCAGAATTCGTTTTTTAATGGTCTTTTTGACCTGGAATGGAAAGAAAAAACAGTGACTGCGGCACTTGGACTTTATTTGTAAATATGTGTGGCCACATAAAAATCATTAATAATTATCAATAGTTGTTAAGTAGATATAAAGTAAATGTTGTGTTCTTCACTGTTCAGCTGTTGTTTTTCACATATGGTCTGTACTTTTTATAAATCTGTTTGTATAGACATACACACATATATAAACAGGATTATTTTTAAAAGTAGTATTAATAATTAATAGTATTTAACACATATATAAATACAGCTGGCATCTTTCACTGCTTGCTAAACTGCTATTATTCACAGATCTCCATCAGCATTCACACATTTGCATCCCAAATTTAAGCAAGGAAAAGGCAAATCTGGAACGAGGGAGTGCACTTGCATATCCATTTTTACCAAAGAAGGGGGATTCTGGAATGGAGAAGAGTACTTCCCACAGATTTTAAGCTGCTGTTTCTGCAGCTGAAGCCATTGACCCCTCCCTGTGTTTCCCGGGGTGTCTGGAGCAGAATTCCAGCCTGGATTGGGGTGTGAGTCTCACAGCTGAAGCCATTGACCCCTCCCTGTGTTTCCCGGGGTGTCTGGAGCAGAATTCCAGCCTGGATTGGGGTGTGAGCTCTCACCTGGCCGGGGGGTGCCTGGAGCAGAACTCCAGCCCATTCTGGGGTGTGAGCTCTCACCTGGCCGGGGGGTGCCCGGGGTTTCTCGGCCACGCTGATCCGGATGCGTTTCCCGTTGAGCAGCACCGGCTGCGTCTCCCCGAACTTGACGGCGGCGATCACGGCCTCCTTGTAGTTCATCTCCAGGTAGGCCTGGAACACAGGGAATCCCTGCTCTGGCTGGGCCCAGGCACAAGGCACAGCTCCCTGGGATCCCTGCCCAGCCAGCGTGTGCCCATGGGGCTGGGGGTGCTCCATCCCTGTGGGGTCTGACGGGCAGGTCTGATGTCAGGGTTACACCAGAACCACCCCACTGCCCCCAGCTGCCACGGCCCAGGGGGAATGAAACAGAATAATTGAAAAATGACAGAGAAATAAGTTATAATTATACATAACATACGTTATAGATATCAAAGTATACATCCTATGTAACCTATAACGTATTATGCTATCATATATAATGTCTAATGCATAATTTACAGGTAAAATTAAATATTATACATAATATATATTATAGATATCAAAGCATACATCCTATGTAACCTATAATGTATTATGTTATTATATATAATGTCTAATACATAACTGATAGGTAAAATTAAATATTATACATAATATATGTTATAGATATTAAAGTATACATCCTATGTAACCTATAATGTATTATGTTATTATATATAATGTCCAATGCGTAACTGATAGGTAAAATTAAATATTATACATAATATACATTACAGATATCAAAGTATACATTCTATGTAATCTATAATGTATTATATTATATATAATGTCTAATGCATAATTTATAGGTAAAATTAAATATATGTAAATAGATAAAGACATGATATATTATATATTATATATATTTCATAGCATAATATACAACATAATACATTATATATTATATGTATTATATCGTATATATATAATATACAACATAATATATTATATATTAAGAATCTATAAGTTATATGTATAAATCATATACATATTTACATATACATAAAAAAATGAAAAAACGCAGGGTCTGAATTTGTATCAGTTTCCCAGTTCCAGCTATTCCCAGATTACAAGTGTGATCTTAAAGCTTCTCAGCAGTTTGTCATTAGTGCCATGTTGCCCTGAGGTTCCCCGTGTCCCTCGTGCCCCTCGTGTCCCACGTTGCCCTGAGGTTCCCGGTGTCCCTCACGTCCCACGTTGCCCTGAGGTTCCCGGTGTCCCTCGTGTCCCACGTTGCCCTGAGGTTCCCAGTGCCCCTCATGTCCCACGTTGCCCTGAGGTTCCCCGTGTCCCTCATGTTCCACATTGCCCTGAGGTTCCCTGTGCCCCTCGTGTTCCATGTTGCCCTGAGGTTCCCCATGTCCCTCATGTCCCACGTTGCCCTGAGGCTCCCCGTGCCCCTGTGTCCCACGTTGCCCTGAGGCTCCCCGTGCCCCTGTGTCCCACGTT